CATATATATATATATATATATATATATATATATATATATATATATATAACTTATTAAAAAAATTATTAAAATAACCAAAATACCCTCAATTTAACAGAATATCTGTAATTATTTCATTTAAGGGATCCAATAAAAAAATTCATATAACCTCAGGGACGAAACCTGTAACTCACTATATGTGAAATGGCTATTTATTTAAATTTCCCTTATTTTTATCATTCACCACCGCCAGCCAACCTGACAGGCCCACCACTCACGACGGAGTAACCCAAGGTCACGGCGGAGTATACACTAATTCTCCTTTTGATCATTGATACCCATAACTTCACCACCATTAGTACCGATTTCAATCATAAACCCTAGAAAATTCCCCAATTAAACTTCACACTATGACACCATCATCAACAGCAGCAGCCGATGTCGCTACCAACACCTACAGCACCACCGCCGAAATCCGCCATGCAATCCGTCCATGGTTCGACGACTTCCTCTCCTCCTTCACTCTCCCACTCTCCTTCCATGAACTCTCCCTCCGTCTCCAGAAAAACCTCTACACCTTCCGTGGCAACTACACCATCATCTCACTCCTCATCTTCATCTTAACCCTAATTTTCCGCCCAATCGCCGCAATCGTCTTCCTACTCATCATCGCCGCTTGGATCTACCTCTTCTTCGCCAGAGACGAGCCGTTGGTTGTTTTCGATTTCGAAATCGGCGATCGCCTGGTTCTGATTTCGTTAACCTTGATTACTATCGTTTCGGTGGCTGTGTCTGGGGTTTGGTGGAACCTATTTCTCACAATTTTAATTTCGGCTCTCCTGATCTGCTTACACGCCATATTGAGGACTCCTGATGATATCGAATCTCCATACGGAGCCTTGCTTTCGGTTGTCGATGAAGATGGAGCTTCACGAGGATCTTACATGCAGGTTTGATCGAATTGTAGAAGAACAAAAATCGATGTGATTCATAATTTTAGCATTGGGATAGTAACAATTTTTCATTGATCATTGCTGGTACTATATTAATATACATTCATACATTTTGATTTACAATCATCGATCTCGTTTCAACGTGATTTGTGTCATTGCTCTTCATTTGATTTCATCTAGTGATCCAATTTTGGTCTGATTTGTGTTCTTAATCAGTGTCTGTATTTTTATTTACGTTTGTTTCCCTCTTTAACAGTTCAAGGAACATCTGAATATCTAAGAATAGAATCTTGTTTGGTAAAACAAAGTCTGCTTCTTAATGGTATTAAAACCCTTTGAATGATTTTGTATCATCGGTCTCCCATTAAACACACTAATTTCATTGTAAACAATTATCAAATAATTATATTTCATTTTACACATGAAAGTTTCTAATCATTCTGATCACTTAATCATTCAGCAACTGCTAAACAGCCTCTTATAAGTTTCCAAATTAGATAACTAATTTTCGGATTTATCGTTCATTATTGTTGCATAAATATTTAAGAGTTGTGAAAAGAGATGTTAATTAAGGGTAAAGTTGTTATTTAGTTCACTAATGTGATGAGTATATATGTCTAAAATTGTGTCGTAGGGAGTAGAAGATGGGTGTAGGGTAGGGACGTACCCAGCTTGGTGCCACCGTATTATTCCTCCATCGAAGTGTAAAAAAAATAGGGTCGTAAAAAGTGTCACCGTATTAACTTGTTGTGTGTGACCGTATATATTTTGAAACTATAATGAGAACAAGTTTTCTTTGATAGAGTTGGTTTGCAAGACTTTTACTTCCACATCATATGCGAGTCTAAATCCTGTTAATATCATTTTCTTAGTTAAATGGTGTCATTATTTGAAAAAAAAGCTGGTTCCATCCTCGTATAGGGGTTGGTGAGCCATCAGTAACCTCAATCCTAACATCCTTTTCTTACCGCACATTTTGCACAAGCCAATGGAGGGTCTTCACGAGAACAGATACTTTGCTCTTTGGGGTAGGGGTTGATGATCAAAAACTTACAATTAACACAATCACAAAAATTTGTAGATCACAATTAAAGCTGAAAAACCTTTTCTTGAGCTCCGTTCGAATCAATTTCTAAATGTTTGATTTTTGTCGAGTCCTTTTGAAATGAACGATCGGTATGACACATAAAACAGCGAGACCAAAATATACTAGAGATCGGCCTGATTTATACGACTCGAGATATGGATTTGATAAATTTCGCATTCAAATACAGAATATGTTTTCAACTTTTTAGATACTACTGACAAGAGGTTGTCATAGGGCTACACATGTGTTATTGGTTGGATTGAAGGCATTTGAACAATTCAACCTAACCAAATTTGGTTAAAAAATCTCAATTAAAAAGTTATCTAAAGATTAACACAAGTAACCAACCCAATTCATACGAGTTGGGTTGGTCGAGTTGGAACGTAATAGCAACAGTGCAACGATATATTTAAACAATCATTAAGTCACTACTATCAGTTAATTGACCTTTTATGCTACCTGGGGAAAAGAAAGCTAGATCGACACCAAATAAACTCACACACCCCTCCTCACATTTGGTGAGGTTTGAACCTCTAACGAGGCCAAAAACTCGCATACCGTTAAGCCAAAGACCCTTTGGTAGCTAAAGGCATTTTTTGTTAACATAAGAACGCAAACTTCAATTTAAAATGGATGCAACACCTAAAAATATTTTCCCTGCATCGACACGATAGAGCGGGTACAGACGGACTTGTCACACTGCTACAACCAAAATGTGCAAATTCGAACCGATGACATTGACACCAGGGAGATCTTCCTACCACAATTACCACATCAAAATGTCGATCTAAACACGTAATTAGCCATACAACGATATCACATTTTCAAGCACAAAACCAACAGTTAATACAACATACCATCGGTAGTTTGGTACTAGATAGGGCCGAGGTAATCTCCTTCCAAGCCAACGACCGCCTGAAACTCCTTCTGAGCCTCCATGTACTTCACCCCAATCACAATGCACCGCACGGTCACATCCTTCTCGATTCTTGAACCCGTTTTTAAGCTCAGAAAACACGGGTTATCTGCAAACTGATATTGGTAATCCGACATTTTTTGGTTAGAGAGATAAAGATTCTCGATGGGCCCACACCTCATGAAAACCCCGTGTTTCAGAATCTTGTGAACGACTCCTTCTATCACCTCTCCTCGGAAGACCTTGAAGCTCAAGCATGTGAACGAGACCGGAAACAACACGTCACCCGAGTGCTCTCTTACCTTCCCTTCTCCAATTTTGTTCAAAGTGGTCACAGCCACAAGGTATCCAAGATCCTTGGTTGCTTTCTTGGCTGCGAAATCGTCTAAAAGGCGAACCAGTATCGCCTTCTGTAACATCAAACCCTTGATGTCAAGATTCTCGGCAGGTATAACCACATTCCAATTCAATTGTACCTTCAGATACATTTTTTAACTTTTACCCCACCTGTCATAATCAGCACAAGAACCAAAGGGTCATAGGCCAACATTATCCGAGTTATCCAAGGGTTCAAAATCTCACCAAACATGACAAGTGTGTGTGAGTATTTGAATTACATAAATACCATATACTTGGAAAAAGAAACTAATGAACACAATAAATTGATATTCAAGATTAGCTGCACAATGAAGAAACAATGCAGTCGCTCTACTATTAAGGATAGAGATCAGGTGGGTGGGTGTGTATCTTATCTTTTCCGGGACCCAACATGTGGGATATACCGGGCTCGTTCAGTTTAGTTTGGTTCGGTAACGATGAAACAAAACCGCCTGCCGTTTCCAAGCTGCAGAGCTCTTTTACATGCAGTACAATTGCATACATCCTTATTATGTTTTCTTGCTCTTAAATTTGACATGATTAAGGCTTTTGATGGGTTCAGCCCCTCAAAGGAGGTGAGAAAGGTCAGGACAGCTGAGAGATCGAGGGACACAAAGCATATTGATAGGAAGTCAAATTAGTTCAGTAATTAGTATAATAAAATCAAATTACACCTCCAATATTTCAACACACAAAAAAACTGATTTTCTAAAATAACAGCTAGTTGGCTTATGTACATCAACATTTTAGCATAAAATGCATACAGCAGAAATTTAGCTTAAATAGTGTTACAGTCACTTAAGAACTAAATAATTTAATTGTTATGAACCAGGAAACAAACAGTGAACGGAGAAAATGTAATCATGGGTTGTTGAATGCTTCCGTTAGCCGGAAAGAAAAGTAACTAGCAATTCGAGAAGCTAGCGGTCTCCCAAGACAGTAATCACTTTCTGCACGAAAACCTTCCCCCCCTTTCCCTTTTGTACTACATAGCAACCAACTTATTCTAGATATTACCCAAAATACCCCCTGCTAGCTTACAGGACTAATTCCCAAGTCTTCTCTTCCCTTCTAGAATGCCTAATACATATTGATGGGCTTGGGCCTAAGCTGGTGCCTTACATAAATGTATAACAGCTTTACGCATCAAATAAGAGGTCAGGCAGAGAATCATCATCAGGGACATGAACAGAGGATAAACGACACCAAACCAAACTAAAACAAACCAAACAAGCCAATGTCCCACCTGGAGGTGGAGTCTGCTGGGGGTGAGATGGACGCAGAACTGATATCTGTCCTGAAGGTCGTGAAGAGTAGAACGACCGTTTCCGTGAAGACCACGGCCTTGTGCAAAGTGTGCAAAAGGAAAAGATAAAGCTTGATCACGAAAATGCAGAACTAGAACGTAATAAAAACTAAAGAAAATATGAAAGGTAGTGCTAAAATTGAAAACTAGGTAGAAGTAAGCAACAATATTTAAACCAATAGACAAACAAATAAATGCAATCAGGTACAAGAAAAACATAACCAAGGAGACTCACTCCCATCCTCTATCTCTCGAGATCCCTTCCTCCCATCGCCTAGTTTGCTACCCTAATCTAGCCTCTCCAAGAACTCCTATTAGAGACCATATCCTCGTAAAGGGCCTAAAAAGTGGCCATGTCTAACCTAAATTGCTCATCCCAAGGTCATGTCATCGGAAAACACCTAAAGTCCCCATGAACAGAGCATACCACCACTAAATGCAAACAGAGGGCTTCAAAGCTCTGTTTTGTGGTTTCGCTGACTTGTGATAAGAGACATACAAGAGAGCATTAATGATCAATGGAGGAGAGGAACAAAAAAGAGAAATCCCATGATTGGTTTGATATAAGAGAATTACAAAGGTTACAGATCATATCATCTCCAAGCAACAGGGTGCTTTTATACACAATAAGACAGAAAAAATCATTATTATGTTTGCTTCGACTTCTGGATTTTTGTTTACTTCAGAAAGAACATGAGGAATGAGGGTTTTTTCTTTTAGCTGATTGAATTCAATTTCAGCTTAACTCTACAAAAATGAAGTAAGAACTTCACCTAATTCACACAAAGCCCTGAATCTTAGTCTTAGGGGCTGTTCAGTTGGTTTTTCATCAAGTCTTGTATGGACAAAGTTGTCTATGTCGATGAAGTTGTTGTCGGTATAGATTTAGCTAAATCGTTGTTCAGCTGCTGTGCAGGATAAACAATTTGAATGATGAAGATGACTATTTTACCCATTCATTTACTTTGGATATTTGTAGATCAAACAAATTGTAAAACAACTACTTTGTAAACAAATCATCAAACAACAGCTTTGTAGATCAATCTAATTACAGATTTCGCTATACTTTTCCCGTTAATTGATGTTCATGATAGAACTTACAGCAACTTTTTTGTTACTACACTTGGCTACAGATCTGGCTATAGATCTTCCATTATTAATCTTTTTGTTCCTAAACACAATGATAAACAAAGAAAACATAATATGTCCAAACACATTCCATTTCTCTCACACATTTCATCAAACACCTTATGAACATTCTTCACTGCACCATAATTTATACAAATCAGACATCCATACACTTTCAAGAACATGAAATAGAAGAAAGAAATTACTAGACCTAATTCGATAGTACTAAAAACCACATAAAAGAGATAAAATAAAAGAAATTACTGAATCCAAGAACATGAAATTGACAAAGAAAAGGGATTCCTGTGATTGCTAATGCCTCCAACCAAATAGACGATAAACACAAATAATTAGCAGAAAGAAGAAGTGTGAGATCTATGTGGGTATTTCAAGATTTTCTTTTATCTGAGTGACCCATCACTCTATTTCACTACAAATGAAGAGTTTGATGCTTTGAATAAAGCTTGGGAGAAGATGGACCGGTAATCGCCTAAGAATCTGCTGAAGGACGACAAACCAGGGCCTCTTCTGACAGAGAAGAGGACCAGTAACTGCCGGAGATTTCTGACGGAGTAGGAAGAGAGAGAGAGAGAGTAGGTTGATCTACAGCGTCTTTCAAAGAAGGGTAAAACATGTCTTTTGAACGACTGAATGCATACAAGAGAGGTAAATGGGCTGAGCAGCCCTTATTTTTTTGAATAAGCCCCAATCGAACATCTTTATACATCGTATCGAATAAGCTATACAGGTTATTAAACCCATTAAGCCACTACCTAACAGGCCCTTAAAGATGTTTGGAAAGAGCTTAATGAACTTAATGAGGCCTCTAGCTTATTCGGACAGCCATGTTGAAGTTTCTAGAAGGGGCTTAATGATTTAGCAAGTAGCTTATTCGCTCAGCTGCTAGGGGTAAACATAATGTGAACCGACCAAATATTTCAAACGCCGCCCTTGTGAAAATACAGATTCTGAAAAGTCTCTCAATACGCACGCCTATCATGATCCCTGGAAGCTCGTCCTCCCCATCGCCGCTCGTTCTCTCCTCCGCCTCCTCACCGCCCACCTCTCCTCTCACGGATCTGGTATTGTCACGCCTCTCCTCCTCTCTCACCGATTTTCTTCTATGTTTACTGCTTGAGGTTTTGCAATCGATTTGGTTTGAAATCGATGCACAGATTTACTATGTGAGGTGTGAAATTGATTTGGTTTTTACTGCTTGAGATCCATATCAATTTGGTTATGCTCTTACTGCTTGAGGTCCGCAATCGATTTGTTTATGATTTTTACTATACTTGAGGTTCTATTTGTGGTTTTTACTATATCAGATCTGATTAGGGTTTTTTACTATACTTGAGGTTTGCAATCGATTTGTTTATCATGTATGTTGAGGTTTGCAGATCTGTTTACTATTTGTGGATCTGATTTGTTTACCATATCAGATTTATTTTATGTTATGTTTATTGCTTCTCCATTTACTATGCTTCTATGGTATTAGAAAATTGTTTACTTGTGGTTTGCATTTGTATGGTTTATTCATGTGGTCATCACATTAGGTAAGGCACAAAAGACCAATTCACGCCCTACAAAACAAACTAGGATAAAGTAGAGAAACACAAATGTGGTGAAAACCTTTCTTGAAACTTGTATACTTGAGATTTCTTTGAATGAGAAAGAGAGTGGCAGTTTGCAAGCACTTTGATGGAAGAAAGTGGCTGACACTTTAAAAAACATATACAATTTTGAGGTTGGTTGATACGGAACAGACCAGAAGTAACCCTGTATTGGCTAGTGTTGTCCCTAAGCCCATAATTTGGAAGGTTTACACTAGAAGGGAAAAAAGAGGTAGAATAGAGAAAAAATACCCTGAGTTAGTTATAACTGTGTGGGTGGGACCATATAAGGAAGGGGGTACATATGCGTGAGGTGTCTTGAGAATAATCTATTTGTTGGCTCTAGTTTCATTCTAGAGAGAGGGAGAGTCCTTGGGCTATTTTCTTTTCATCTTGCAGTATTTTGATTTTGCCTAGTTGTTAACAATCTGCAATCTTCTTGCATATTGAATAAAATTTCAATTGAGTCTGATCATTGGTCCTACCTGTACTTGCAACGAGCACAGGAAATGACGAAGTTACAAGCTGATAAAAAGCGACGCGAGGTGCATTTTCAGGTTGGAGAATGGGTATATGTGAAGCTGAAATCATACCGGCAAGTATCGGTGGCGAATAAGATTTCTCATAAACTAGTTGCTCGTTTTTTTGGTCCATTTAAGGTTGTGGAAAGAGTAGGCCCAGTCAAGTATAAACTACAGTTACCGATCACGTCTAAGGTACATTCGATCTTCTTTCATGCTTCATTACTCAAGAAGGCTGTCACACCTGGTGCTGAGAAACAAGTTTTGCAATCGGAACTGGACTTAGAGATGGCTGACCAGTTGGTTCCAGAAGCAGTCAAGGCTGTGCGAACGATTGATAGCGGTGGTGGGTCGGTTACCCAGTGGTTGGTTCAATGGAAGGGTCAAACAATTGAGGAGGCGACATGGGAGGATGCTGAATTGATTCAGAGCCAATTTCCCATTGTATGTCTTAAGGACAAGACATTTATTGAAGAGGACGGTAATGATACGAAACAGGCCAGAAGTAATCCCGTATTGGCTAGTGTTGTCCCTATGCCCAGAATTTGGAAGGTTTATTCTAGAAGGAAAAAGGGGGTAGAATAGAGAAAATACCCTGAGTTATGTGCGTCGGACCTTATAAGGAAGGGGGTACGTATGTGTGAGGTGTCTTGAAGAATAATCTATTTGTTGGCTCTAGTTTCATTCTAGAGAGAGGGGGAGTCCCTGGACTATTTTCTTTTCATCTTGCAGTATTTTGATTTTGCCTAGTTGTTAACAATCTGCAATCTTCTTGCATATTGAATAAAATTTCAATCGAGTCTTATCATTGGTCCATAAACACATGTGAAATCACTTTGACCACTAGAAAAGGACATACGGAGAATTGTTAAAATTGAAAAGTAAAACCAGCAACATCTACAATTCTTCAACCAACTCATTTAACTTGACACCCAGTAAATGTGAATTGGAGATTCAGGTCGTTTTCTTGCTTTATTTGCATTCCACTTCAATTTGTTTATTTAATTACTATAATTACATTGCAACTTCTTTGAACACAGCCAAACTTATTATAGAAGAAGAGAAGGTGGACGATGTTATCAAAATGTTCTAGGAATTTGTGATTTCTATATGATATTCACATTTGTTTGGGCTGGTTAGGAATGCATAGCTCATGATTCTAGAGTACTATACGAAGTTTCATTTAAACCAAATTTATATGTCCACTGGAAGGTATGCATCATTCTTAACTATTATTAATCTTGTTTGATTTGCTATGTCGTTATAATGGTGCTATATCAATATTCATGGTCATGGGACAAATCGCGGCGGTCAAATAGTGGTCCCACAATTGACCACTAAATGACCGCATTTTGAAAGCAAAAAGTTGCAGCATAGCCACTATTCTTGGATGGGCTTTTTTGGTGTTAAAAGAGTAATTTTGTGGGCTTTTATTCAGGATCTGGACTGGGTTGTATTTTACTCCAACAATATTAAGACTACCTCAGTCAACGACTTGAACTTGGACACCATCACTTTGACCTTTGGCTCTGAATAAAAGTATTCACATTGTTCAATTATTCTTATTTGGACTTTGGCATCATTATTCTTATATGTTCTTATTAATAGACGTAATATGCTAAGTTACTATACATATATGCAATTCTAGTTACTATATGGACCGCTATACCACCGTTACCATGGTGATAACCACTATTTCAAATCACAATCCTGACCACGATTTCATAATTTGGCTGTTGTACCAACATAGTTAATTTGAAATAATGTTTTCATGTTTGCATATCAATTGGAGGTAAATATTATCTTTGCAAGGTTGCATATTCCAACACTCGTGGATTTTTGACTCCTTATCGGTATTGGTTAACAGATTTTTGACACCGATGTGCCTTAAATAAGAAGAAAGGTTCAACCATGCACCTGCACAATGTAGAAATGTTATTGAGCATGCTTATGGTGTATTGAAAGTAAGATTTCCAATCCTGAAGTAGATGACTCCTTTACCGTTTACAGAACAAAGAAATGGGGCCATTCCTTGCATCGTGATACATAATTCTATAAGAAAATGTAATATCCAAGATCAACTATTTTTATTTTTTTAATAGTAGACAACATGAACAAACTCAAAGCTAAAGCAACATCAAAGTCGGAGAAATTGAAAACTGTCCCTGATTTATAGTGTCAGTTTAATTCATTGTTTTTATCATAATATGTATCTTGACACTTATCTTTAGACAATTAGGGATAAACTTTGAAGACTAGAATATTTTTTGAGTGGTTGATTATCAACCACTAGTATTTTCTTTTTTTGTTTGAAATTGTAATACAATCAAAAAAATTTAGAAATGTGTTCAAACCGTCCAACCCAACCCATGTGCACCCCTAGCTTAGTCTACACAGAGTCTAATAGAAAACCAACCAACCAATCAGCTCCGTAGATTGGACATTCAGCATTACTGATCCCTTGACCGAGAAAATCAATGGGGTGACCCCTTCCAAGAAACCCGTAAATCTTAAAGTGGACTTCACCTGAGACCAAGAAAAAGGAGGGAGGAGGGGGCCATGAAGAGTGACAAAGGGGATCACTCATCAACAGTCGATGGAGATGATAAAAGTCAAGAAGGGCTAGCTGAGGGACGGAGTAGATTGGATGAAGGAAGCAAAGCAAACAATGAACCCTGCAAATAAACCCTAATTCAAATAACTATGAAGCGAACAAAATCAGAATAATTATCTGCAAGTGGAATCTGAATGATCACTCAAGAACACATTAATTAATTCTTCAAACCGTTCAGCACTATTTCTCCTTCAACCCCCCCCCCTAATGTGTTCCATAAAATCAGCCACGATCTTAAGATTACATAAACCAATAATGATGTTAAAGCAACGGGATCATATACATGAAAAACAAAACCACATGAAATTCTTCTATATAAAACATAAAAACAAACGTTATTCGATCAACATGGTGAATTCAGTAGAAATTACAATCAAAATTTGCCCTAATTTGACGAGTAGCATATGACCACAGATAAATTTCCAAAATTTGAAATCAAAATGATGAAGATGAAGGAATTACACTGACCGGAAGTATTAGAGAATGCTATGTAGGGCTGTAGCTCCTCCGTGTGGGTTTTAGGGTCTTCACTATACGCTCCTTAATAAAGCATCCCAATTTCGGAGGGTTTATTGCAGAGTCACGCGGATGAGTGAGGTTTTGGACTTGTGGTCGCCAGAGGCTCTTCAATTTTATTTTTTTTATGATTTTCGAGGAGATTTATTAAGAGGGTGATTCACATCGTTTATAAAAATTAATTTATTGACTTGTTTTAGTATAACATCGATAATAAACATTTTTGAATATTTGGATAAACAGCTTATATCAATATCAAATCGGTAATAAGAAGTTTTTGAAGAAGTTAAAAACTTATAATAAGTTGATAAAAATTTTCGTAGGAAAACATAAGTTGTTTCAAATAAGTAATCCCAAACACTTTTTGAGGTTTCACTTTCTAATTATTTTTTATTCAAGTTTATCAAAATAGTCATAAATCTATAAAATTCATGTTCATAATTATGGACCTGGTTAAAAGATAAAAAAAATTTACACTTTCAACCTTTATTCGTAAAAAAGTTACATTTTTCACCCAAGTTTGCAAAAAAAATTACATTTCTCATTCAGGTTCGTAAAAAAAATTTACATTTTTCACCTAAGTCGATAAAAAAATTTATAGTTACAAACTTAAGACTATTTTGATAAACCTTATAAAAGTGCCTCTAAAAGGTGAAATCAAAAGATAAAAATGGTTATTTTGATTAATTTTCTAATTTTTCAATTAAAAGAATAATTATTTTTTAATTACGTATTTATCCATACTTACAATATTATAAAGCATTTGACATAACTCTTAAAAACCATCTTTTATGCATGAGGTACTGTTTATCGATACATATTACTTAAAATTCAATATTATAAGTACATTGTGCTTAGGTACAATTTATTAAAGCTCTATTTTTTAATTCGTGTAACTAACTGTAGATAAACATAATCAAATACATGATAAACATCTCATTTTAAATATAAAAAAATAAAATATAATTAGTATAATAATTGAATTTTAGTAGAATACTTAATTATCATTCTTCTAAAAATTATATTATTAAACAAAAATAAATTATTTTGTTATTAAATGTAAATTGAATTATAATAAAAAAAATTGATTTAAATAAATTACACAGAAAACAAGATCTTTTCAATAGTTAATTTAATATTAGTATCAACATATTTTTTTCAAATTTATATTTCATTCAAGAATAAAAATCCATCGCTTTCTAAAAACCACATAAAACCGTATTATATAGACGGGGAAAATAAATAAAATGAAACATTAAAATCGAGATATATCTCGCTAGTGTAAAAAAAGAGTGAAATAGATAGAATTCATAAAGTATGGTGGTGGTCGCTTATATATGGCTCCAATGTGATTTTGGTGTCTAGAAATCATAATGTATAGTAGTGCTTCATTTTTCGTATTTTAAAGTTCAAACTAGTCATGCAGTTAACAATGTTAGTCAAAGGTCGTTAAGTGGGTCATGTGTCCCCTCACGTGAGGGACAAATCCATTATTTACCTTTTTTTAAAACAAACTACCAGTATCGTTGACCACCACATCAGATGAATTTTAAATGGGTGGGAAAATCATCAGACCAAAACAAATAACAACATAAAATCAGCAGAACAACAACAAAGTTGTTTTGGAGATGAACAATGAACAGAAGAATGAAACAAGATCCAACAATCATAATCTTTTAAAAACAATATTGTTTATGTGAATATGAATAAAGGACCCATAGTTGAGAACCAAAAACCCCTAAATCAATACCCTAGATTTCTCTCCGCATCTCAATTTGGGGTTTTGCAAAATAAATCAAACCCTAAACAAATAAAAACCGTGAATTGTCATCGTTCGAAATCAAACACATGTTGCTTCGTTGATCCGGTTTTGAAATATGGGGTTCAACATTGTTCGTCTTCTGTGTTCTTTGTTATGTTCTTCATTTATTTGTGTTGGTGCTTTCATAATCAAAAACCACCTGAAAATGGCAACGGTCGCAACGATGCTTAAATCGGGATCACACCTCCATTATAGGTTTTTAAATCAGAATCAAATCCGCCTAATAAATGGTGGTTGATGTTGCTTTCGGAATCAAAGGAAGAAGGCAGTGGTGTCTTGATGTACAAAGAAGATGGGGGCGGTAGAAAAAAGAAGGGCTAGTGGTGGTGGCGACAACGGTGGATGAAGAAGAAGAGGGGTTTGGATTTACCAACTCATCGAAAGAGGGTTTCTCATTCACCGAAGAAAGAACAAAAAGAGGAGGTGGAGTTGTTACAAAGAACAACAGATGATAGGTTTGTCGCCGGAGAAATGGTGTCGAAGGGGCAGTGTCCTCGTGCTCTCACGTTGAGGCTGAACTTCACGATTTAAGAGAGAGAGAGAGAGAGAGAGAGAGAGAGAGACAATATACGATTATAAATTTATATTATATATATTACTAAAAAAATGGTGAAATGATTGATATGCCTCTCATGTGAGGGGCACATGATCCATTTAAGAGACCTTTGACTGATAGTGTTACCTCGAGGGACTAGTTTGGGCTTTAAAACACAAAAAAAATGATCATACTTGTGTACTTTAAAAAATTTAGAAAGCAAAACCAAAAAGCATCTATATATAAGGAATCACATATGTAATTCACTCAATAAAAAAAGAATAAATTACAGATATCATCCTTATGGTTATACAAAATACAGATCAAGTCCCTACTTTAACTATGTTAAAAAGATCTGTTAACTCGAAGGGGTATTTTGGTCCTTTTGCTCATTTAACCACATAGACGATATATGTAATTTATTCTTGTCTTGTTGTACAACTTTGGATGTGTTATGTACAAGTATATAAGGCACTGATAAAAAAAAACAGTGGCACCTCCGATCGTGGTTCCTTTGTCGATCATCTCCGACAACACATCAAAACAAACAATTACCGAATCAAAAACTTCCCAACCTTAACCACCTAAAATCAACCAAATCCAAGATTTAATCACAAAAAATCAACCCAAATGCCAATTCTAATCAACAAAAATCAAATATAAACCCTGATCAACAAAAATCAATCAAATATGAACTTAGTAACCAAAATGAATCCATCTATTTAGCAAAGTCGAAGCGAGTATGAGGTGTAGAGAGAAACTGAATTCATCTACAAAGCAAAGTTGCCAACGAGCGAAGAAAATCGTCGAAAGACGAGGGTGGCGTGGAGGTCGTCGAACAGTGAGAGAAAGAGGTCATTGGATCTATTTCAATGAGTGGTGATCAGAATGGTAGTGGTTGTCGAAACAATGAGGGAAAGGGGTGATAAGAGAAGGGGATCACTAGGGTGGGATGGGGGAGTTCTTGGGGGGCAAAGAACAGTAGGATTCATCACCGAAAATATACGGACCAGGGGAGGATTCATCGCCGAAAACACACAAAAGTTGGAGAGGGAGATCGAAGGTTTTTTATTTAATTATATATATATATATATTTATTTATTTAAATATAATACATTAAATATATAAATTTAAAAGAGAAAACGAAAGAAATGGTCTGACTTAACAAAGACAAATTATCAGAATTTATGTTAAGAACCCAATTCATAATGAAAATAAAACCACAAATACCAACTCCAGAATAATTATATAATATTCATATATCCATATGAACATGTATTTTACTCTAAAAATTATTGATATTATATTAATAATTATATAATTACTTTATATTTATTTATTTATTTATTTTAGGATAATTAGAAGGGTACTCGTGCAATACATCGAGACACATCTTGATTTTAGTGTTTCGTTTTATTCATTTTTTACGTCGATATAATATAGTTTTATGTGGTTTTGAGAAAACGATAATGTTTTTATTTTTTAATAAAATAAAATTTTGAAAATATCATAAAATTTTGAAAAAAGTTATATCGATATCAGTATCAAATTAATCTTTTCAAAAGTTCTTGTGTTTTGGTGTAATTATCTTAATTCAATTTTTTAATTATAAATTGATTTAGGTTTATTAATATAATTTTTTATAAAGATAATAACTAAGTATTCTGTTAGAACTCAATTATTATCTTAATTATATTTTAAATTTTTTATATTTAAAATGATATGTTTATCCAATATTTGATTATGTTTATCTGCAGTTAGTTACACGAATTCAAATATGGAGCTTTAATAAGTTGTAATTATTCACAATTTACTTGTAATCTTAAATTTTAAGTAATATGCATCAATAAACAGTAATTCGTGTATAAAAAATGGTTTTTAAAAGTTTTTATCAAATGTTTTATAATATAATATAGACATAAGTCTTTAAATACAGCCTTCATTCAAATTGTTTCTTTTGTCTTTTTCCCAATTAATTGTTTCCATGTTCTATAAATTGCATAATTAAAAATTACACAATTTCTATTTTTTCAAATATAAACTTTACACTTTTTAAAAAATTGCATTAATTTTTCGTTCTTAATTTATATAAAATTTTATATTTTTCATGTAACCGTACAAATAATTCGTCTCATTCTCCTTTTTGTTGACTAAAATCATTATTTTCATGAAAAAAATTTATGGGCATTTAATGTCATAGTGATTTAACATTACAATAACCAGACGTTTGGTAAATTTGATTTTGATTATTTACATTTATACTTAAAATATTTAGATTTGAAGAAGGGGGTGGCTAAGACCATCCACATCCCTGCAATTCATTTACACTTTCAATTGTGCCACATCAGCTTTTGCAATTATCTTCCACACACCTGCAATTCACCTACAAC